AAAACCCGATAACATACTTTATGGCACCTTTGCACCAGATTGTTTAAATTTTTAAACTTAAAATTAAAATAAATATTTTTAAATAAATACTTAAAATTAAAATAACTACCCCGGTTTTGGGCAGTCGTCATCCATTTGCGGCCGCGATTATATCTGACGTTGATAATCTATCATCTTGAAGAAAGTGTTTCTTCAAGATGATAGATTATCAACGTCAGATATAATCGCGGTCTCCACTTTAGTATATTTGGACTCCAGCGCCCATCAGTCCGACTGGAGACATGACCACTTTCACTAAAGCGTACTGATTCTCCGTGCGATGTCGGTTATTCTAGTTCTCTGTCGAATAACTTCGTTATGAATTTCATCGGCTAGCCAAACACCCAGCGTCGTACAATCCATCGCACGATGAGCTACTTCAAACCTGTGTATCAGTCCAATGGCGAGTGTCCACGTCTCGGCTCCGAGTGCCATTACGGCCAAGGTTAATTGCCTTGGTTTTTAATGACTGCCGGGACTCGAAGATATGAGTTAGCTTCTCTTGCGCCGCTCAACCCAGAAGAGTTCTTGTATTGGCCTCCCGATCGAAGTTGTGTCAACCGAGTTGACTAGTTTTGACAAGGTAGACGTATTCTTGTGGAACCTCGATAGTAGCGCCATTTACGGACACAGATTCGTAGATACATGCCTATTATGCATGATTTTTATCTTATCGATGTTCATCCTAAGTCCCACTCGCCTTGAAGAATCGTCCAGACTGTTAAGCATTTCTTCCAGATCATGCACTGATTCCGCCAGATTGACTATGTCGTCTGCAAATAGCAAGTGTGAGAGGTATTCAATTTGAGCATCTTAAAGTGGTCTTCGGAAGAAATAAAACGTATCCCTGCCTGTATAGATTGGTATTGTGCTCTTTTCTTATACTTGGATGGTCATTGTTGCGGCTTTGTAAAGACATCTCAGCAGTCAACCAGGCATCTCTGCATTGATTCCAAGATAGCCCAGGTCTCGACGATATCGAAGGCTTTCTCGAAGTCCAGATACTAATGTATTAAGGAAACGTCCAATGCTCTTCGGTGAAAGTGATTAGAACCCACCACGAGGATGACATTTGTCAGTCTGTCCTATTGTACATAGGCAAACTTTTTTCGTGATGTTTTTTCCATGGCTAAATCATTCGTAATCTACATATTTCTACATCAAAAAAGAGCGCAGATAACATGGAATCTGGAACCACTGGAACTTATGGCTATCGTGATACCTGAGTTATGATGTAATTAAAAAAAATTACATGTTGAAGAGCAGGCCTTTTATACTAATATAATAGTTCCATTCATACATACTCTACGTCTAATAACAGTTACAAGTAGTAGCTTTATTACATTGTTACTTTTTTTATTTAATCTAAATATTGCACACTTTGCTGCCACTTCAGCGATACTTTATAGAGATACTTTATTTTATATTCGTGTCAATTTTGTTCACGAACATATGAAAATGAGTAAGAAAAAGAATCGTAAAACGTATATTAGATTAATTCATATTAACAAAAGGTCGTCGTAAATCATATCTCATTCTAAAATTCGCCTATGATGTATGTTAAGTATTAACGAATTATAACTTAAACCATTGGGAGTAAAAGGCATTTTGGAGTCACACGGGCTGTAACACTATTTCGTATGGTTACTTTGAAGCTTTAAATGTCTGCATTACCTATGTGGGTGTAGGTAATAAAGCAGCCGTCACTGGCTGTAAAAAATTGAGAACACTTTGCTACCAACGCTGACAAATTGCTTATTACATAAGAAAAAAAGATCTTTGGAAAAACTTTATTTTCTCAATGTTAGTTTTGGTCAAAAATATGGTTTTATAGGTATATTATACAACTTTTGTCCAATACTTTGACTAAGTCATTTGTATAAGAATAATAATAACAAACTTGACATCAGAGTGAGTATTTACATATGAAAAGATGTTCTGCGTTTGGTGTCAAAACATAAAATATTTTATATTGAGGTTTTTTTTGGAAATTTAGAAAACCAATAAGGTAATATAATATAATTGGTATAAATATAATATGATGGTAATACCAATAAAGTAATTAAGATTTTTAACTAAAGAATTTCCAACCAAGGGAGGGTTCGTGACTGTCAGTCGTGCTATCGGCCCGCAAATCAACTTCATTATATATTACGAGTATCCATTACATCATCGGACGGAATTGGCCTTGATACAATTAAATAAACAGGATTATGCATTAACATGGGTTAAAAGAAATACTCATATCATAGCACATATTCCACTATAGATATTATACTTAATGGAGTGAAAGTAAATTAAGAAAATGTTAAGGTTAAGATTAACAAAGATATGTTAAATAGAGTTTTGAAGCTGAAACTAAATTTGACAACAATTAGCTATTGTTTCATTATTTTACAATGTAGATTTTTCTAAAATTTTATGTATCATTTGAGTGTCATAGTTTACCGTAAAAAAAAAAAAAATATCTTTCGACAATAAAAAAAAAGCTTACGACAAATGTTACAAATTACTGCAACAATAAATATAATAGTCTTTGTGAGTGTAATAAAATGAAAAAAAATATACATATTTTACGCCGGTGGCAAAGCAATATTTGATGGGTGTTATAGTTTACGATGGGGGACCTCGGATAAATTACGGGCGAACAGCGAACATAACTCTGTATGGCTAGGCTCGTATAAAAGTTATAAAACACGATGACACAAGTCTCCCACACAACTCATTTACTTGTATTGTTAGCAACTTATATCGTTCCTGACTTTCTAATCACGCTTCTAACATTACTGGTATTTTATGAATAAATACATATTAAAGCAGCCGATGCGAGTTGAACATCATTTAAGAAGGAGTAGTTCTTCTAGGGGTCTTCACTAAGAAATGACCGCCTTTTCTGTATACTCTTACCTCTTCTGACGAACTAAGGATTGCATTACTTTACCTTACTAGTAATCCAAACTTTATCAGAACAACAAAACTTCCAATTCTTGCTATTTAAGCAGATAATACCACACCTTTTTGCCTTTATTATAGTAGTTTGAGTGCCGGGGAACTTAGCTTTCCAAAAACTAAAAATATGACAATTGAATGAAGGTAATTGAGACGAGAGAATGGTTCACTGAATGGAGAAATACTGAATGTGCAGGGTAGAAGTGTAGGTTGCATAAGGCATCTCTAACATCTGTGACTTGGTCCATCCATCCAGCCCACGAAGGTTCTTTTCTACGTTTGGAATGATGTCAATGTAAATAATAATTATTATTTTCACATAAACAGTTTATTTAAAGTATTTAAACACACCCTAACTATAAAGATCGGATATGTTGTCTCCATGTTAAACTATTTAAAATTTGGACTCCGCTCCTAAGATTTTAAAGAGTAAGATGACGTTTACAGCTCAGGTTTTAAAGGTCGCTTTTAGGACAAAACAACCTTGGGCCTGCAAATACTTACCATCTGGCACATTGTGTGTTTTTTACGACCTGAGTCATATAAAAGCAACACAGATTAAAATAAACAAAACACCGCGACGTAACCTTTATCTTTTTTACTATACTAAGACTTCGTGATGATGTTGATGAAATCATTATGCCATTCTGTAGCTTGATTCACTTACTCGTAAAGAAATACCACTGTTCGTATGTTGTTGTACTCTCAAATTCTAATTATAAATTTTAGTACAATTAAAAGCAATAATACCAGACGTACATAAAGGAAAGTCGCTTCGTGTTATTTTCCTGGGGTAAATATGACCAGGGCTTGGATCGACATGATATACTAATAAAAACATATATGTATATATATTAATAAAACGATTTATTTGTTTAAACTTGATAATGTAAAGTTACAAAATATAATACAGACAGGGAATCTCTAATATTGGCACATATTGAGCTGTGTTGTTAAAATGTTGGATATCATTTACAAAGTATTACATAGAGCAATAATGTGGTATGAATATTACAAATATTTTTTGACATTACCACTTGCTAGGAGATAAAATGTGTATTAATTTTACAATTAATCAATTATTAGTACAAGTATACCAATTTTCGTATTAAATTCCATAAAATCTAATTTCTTATGAAAAGTGAATTCATTTATTTTTATTTAATTTTACTAATATGTCTACTTTGTCAGTAGCTTTCATTAATATGATTTATTTACAGATTAATTTAACTGGAAATAATTAAATGAACACTCTTAAATCTATTTAATGAAATGTATCCTAATTGATTTATATCATTAAACACCCATTGAACTATTAGGTATGTAAGTTGGTATGTCTCAAGTTCTTGAACATAAAAGTATACAACTGTAAAAATCAAATATATTATTACAAAGACAGAAGTCAAAAATATCAAATCAATGTTTACAAGTATTAAAGCAAATTAAGATGATGAGTGCTAAACAATATTATGTTCCAAGTTTGAAAAAATCCAACTTTCCTTTTTATTTGCATCAACTAATGTTTACTTCAAGCACTGCACCCCATTGGCGCCACTCATATTTATAAAAATGAAATTTTATTTATGCATTTTAGTGGACATTTTTTAGCCCTTTTGCCTTCTACTCTTAGTTATACACAAGAAGTATACGTACATAGGCATATATAATAAATGTATTTATAATAAATCGCAACTTTGGCACACGACTGATTGGCAAGAGAAACACCTACAGATATTATCAATAATTTACAAATAAACCAGTCAATCAATTCGGATATCATTACGTTGGCATGCTTTTAGTACAACAGCACTTATCTATACAAATAAGATATGAATTTATTTACAATTATATATATTAAACATCTACGCTATTCGATTAGACAAACGATCCTTTTCTACTTTGAACATTCACAGTTACTGAATCTCAGCACACCGGTTGGGTTTTGGGTTATATGAGAGCGTCCGCCCGGCACCCTGCTACACATCGCTGGGTGGCGAGGCGGGCTCCGGCCGCTAGTGAAGCTGGCTTTTAGTGCTGAACCCGTAGTGCAGGTATGGGGAACCGGCGCCATCACGAGCACCGCCTGGACCGCCACCCGCGCCGACCCCACCCCCGCCCGGACACTTGAGCGCTGACCGTAGCTCCGAAGCCATCTCCGAACACAAGGATGCCTGCACATCAAAGCAATGTGTTATCGAAAATTGTAAAATTTCACAGTATGTTTGCAGGTTTTTTTAATTATCTCTTCATCATTATGCCCGCTATTATTTCTGCGACGACATTAATCTTTCTTGAGGTTTTAAAACGTTTTAACATAAGTTTTAACAGTTCAAATACATTTTTAAGCACTAGCGAAACCTCTGTAATCGGGCGTGGACAAAGACAAGTAGCATTATCGTTTTCTCATTATATTTCTGGAAAAAGTTTTTATATTATGAATATTTTTTACTTCAAATTATGTATTATTAGGTAATAATGCAATATGAAATACATTTCCTAGCATGTTACTTTGAGTAAAAGATTCTGAAAGAAAAATAAGTAAATTGAGAATGAATCGCCTGATTCTAACTTCAGAAATAGTATACATTCATTTAAAATTTAAAACAGAGTTGTTATGTATTTGTAACAATATTTTAAATTGACGCGTTCAGTCGAATCCGATAATTGCTCGACCCGCCTCAGTCAAATTGATTAAAATTCATTTATAAAAGACTCGTAGACTCTTGGCATACATATCTGAACCATACGACAGAATTTTCTTTTGGTATTTGTTTCGAAAAGTTGATCGTAACCAAACCACGTATACTTTCATTGAGTACCAAAAAAATGTACACATTTATTAAGCGATCAAATGAAAGGTCTCCTTTAATATCAGGTCTCCAAGAAATTGCATTCTGCTAATTGCTTTGTCTGCCTGTATGTCTAACTCTCTGTAAGTATTCCTAAATATCGATATTCCGAACTTGACTTTGAATTTATGTGGTCAACTATCCTAAAACTGTTTTTTTAATTGTACCTTTACATTTTTGGGGGCTTTTATTTGTTGTGAATAAAAATTGATAATTTCAATTAATAGTCAATACTAAACAAAGTTTTGTGATAATAGCAACATTATCAGAAAGAGGGATATTTGCACATCAACATTATTTAATAACCGGATTTGAGAATATTTAACAACATTAATAAGTATTCAATTTTAAAAAATATTCAAGAGTAAGATCAGCGCACGAGGAGTGATAATTTATTAGGAAAAATCAACCGTTGCATTAAACTCCGATAGTATCAGGCATGCATATTAAGTAATATACCATACCTCTTCCTTCTGTAGGCCACACGATGGTGAATGCATTTGAGAAAAGAAATTAAATTAACGTAAATAAATTAAAATGACATCACATATAGATGCAAGTGACCAATATAGGTAATCACTTTAAATGTGTACTGTAAATTTCTCATCTAATCTTCAATAGTAAAATATATAAATTTATTTATTAGTAAATATATTATAAGTCTAGTATATTATCTAATTCAAAATTGAAGATAGCTTATAAAATAAATTCTAGAGTACAGTTAAACATACTTAGCCTACTCAGTAAAGCAACTGAAAATATTCGTGAGTACTACATTAATACTAGGTGCTCATGTAATATGTATTTTAAAAATTATGTATAATGTTCACTAAATATATGTAATTCATTGTAAAAACTGACATAAAATACTCAAGGTAAAGATTGAATGTATGATCATGATGTTGAGAGAGGTAAGGAGTTTTTAAATTATCTCTACGTTCCCAAACTAAAATTAGGCATTGAAATATATTTACAAAATGCAATACAGTTGTATATATACGTACTAAGGAAAATAAAAAAAAACTTACTCTAAAACAATATCACCAAAAAAAATTTCATTTAAAAATAAACCTAGAACAAAAATAAATATGTAAGTAAAACTTTTTGTTAATTTTGTACACACACTATAGAAATATCTTTAAACATATAATGCAAAAATCACCTGCAAAAATTATGCTAGTGCTAAACGAAACCCTTTCCAACTAAGCAATAAAATATAAAAAGCTCTATTGAAAGTAAGGTATAACAAAATCGAATCGAAAAAATTAAAACAATGTAAATTTATATCTAATATTCGAAATTTGAAATTAAAACTGATTATGACTTACCCGTTCATCGACAGCAACTTTGCGGGATTTCCAGACGAATTCGCATACAGCGATAACGCACGCAACGCCCATGCCTCCCATTAGTACTACGAACACGCCGCCCACGTTTGCTAGTCCTAACTCGTTCGCCGTCGACGATGACTTTGATGTCTCATCCTGATTTATTCAAATATTTTTCAATGTCTATCGTAAAATACCTATAAAACTATACACATTCTGACAATTTATATGAGTTGTTTAGAGGCTAGGCTAGATTTAACAAAAAAAAAAATACGCAAACACCGAGCTGCTTTTAAAACCCTGCATTACATTTTGTGTACAAAAATGTGATTATTGTGATTAATTGAATTCTTTTTGATATGATTCAAGGCCTTTTTTTATTCAATATTTCTTTTGACGACCCTCTTTGTTTATGGTAATTAAAATATAGGGCCTCATACAAAAACCTGTAATTAATTGGATTAAAAAAGGGTTTTATACGTTCTAATGAATGGAGGTATTTATGGAAGCATAAAAAATGAATAGACCCAATTGTTTGATAAGCCATAGATAAAAAACGAATCAGAATTTTATTATACTACTTTGACCTAATAGGTTCCCATAGTTCGTTTTAAAATATTTCTAAGATAACCAAACTTCCTTTCCCTTTGTTACTAAGAGTCCTAATTAACACTTCATATTATAAGCACAGTGTATTTCTTTGCAGTCGTTGTTCTTCAGTTTATTATGATTAAAATTAGCACGATAGGAAATTGAAATCAAATTTTCAACTCAAAGTTTTGACTTCGAAATCGCTCGATCGAATCCTTTACAATCACACAAAATCAGGATATTTTCAGTACAGAATTGGATGAAATCTGGATGGCAATGTTTTTGTATATAATACACAGTTAGCAATTTTTGTTTTTTCAGTAATAAAAAAAAAAAAAAAAATTTCGTAGACGTTGTTTCATATTTCTAATTTTTCCCAACGATATAAACATAAAGAATGAACAGAAATCGGCAAATGAGACATGGAAAGATGTTGACAACAAAAATGCTATATAAAAGTTTTATATGTTTGTATTAATTACGAGAAACTAACAATGTCGTTGACCATTTACTTACCCTACAAGAACCTCCTCCTCGCTTCTCTTTCCACCACTTTGTTTTCAGTATGTGCAATTTTCCCTCCTCTTGCAGTTTCAAAACTGCTCCGCTTATTGCTGTTCGGTATGGAGAGTCTGCAAAACAATCCAAGCACTGAGAACAGTCAAAATACTTTTCCACATGTCAGCGGGGCCACAAAATTTTAGATTGAAATAAAACCAGATACATTTTTGAAGCTATTTGCGAAAAAGTTTTCTCATTATTTTGAGAATGAGTATTATTCGCTGTGAAGTAGTTTACATACGAGTACAAGTATTTTCTGTTTAATTAAAAGACGTTATATTATCAGGTTTATTTTATTATTGGAAAAGTTTTGTAAGACACGAAATAATAGGGCAAAAGTAGGATTATGTAATGTAAGGGAAACCGTTGGAGAAAAAATATTGAAGAGATTGCGTCAATATTAAGAAGTATTAATACTTGTAAGTAAATAAGATTCTTATTTTACTTTAGTGAGTTGGAACTCTTTTAGAAAAATGCATTTGAAGTTATTTTTCAATTTTATTACTATACAATGATGACTTTATTGATCGTTGTATTACAGCTCAAAATTATTTAGTAATATTCAGTTCTAACAAAAGTCGACATGACGATGAGAGGTTTAGTAATATTGTGTATGTTACTTTATTGTGATATCATTATTACTCGAGTCTTGTTAAAACCTAAATAAAATATTTTTCATTTCTATTAAGCTCTCAAAAAAAAGTTTTATGAGCCTTAGCAAAACTTGTTTTAATGGTATAGCAATTACGAAAATCTTGAAGACTGATGTCATTTAGTTTACTTCTTCTAATTGAAGTAATTGTCCGTTTATAATTACATATACATTCGGTTAAAAGCATTTTTTTTATGGTATAAGGGGGTACACGAGCAGACGGGTCACCTGATGGCAAGCAACCACCGCCGCCCATGGACACCCGCAACTCAAAAGTCTCAAGTGCGTTGCCGCCCTTGGAGTCCCTCCCGCTCGAGTCAGCGGGAGGGTAGATTTGGGCTCCGGTAACCTCACTCACTCAGTGAAAGGCAACGAAAGAATTGCGTAACACCGGTAACTTTACACTTTTGTAAAAAGGTTATACTACAGCAGGCACAGAAATAAAATATTTAACTCTATTTCACATAAATTCTTCCACAGCTTCACGTACGTGTGTAAAAGAAGAAAATATATGCTTACTAGGCGGCATGGCAATCCCGTAGCCTTTCGAATCAAGCATGCCTCCAACTTGAGTAAGGTCGCAGTTTCTCTCCACTACATATTCAATCGTAGTTGACTCCATGAGGTATGCGTAAGCCCCCTTTCCTCGGACAACTCTTTCTTCCCCTTCCTTGTTGGTTGTTGAAAAAACTGAAGGTCTAGCTGACTCCATGAATGACCACATACGCTGGTAGGTAGAAAAGTTTGAGTCCTATTTAAAGCATAAAATAATATAAATTGTAAATTTTGTTCGTAAATAAAGTTAGTATTTTATAAACTTTGAAACACATAAATCAAATTGTTGCTTATATTATATTTAAAAAAAAAATGAAGTGTTGATGTCAAAAAAGAAATATTTTTAGGTATTCAAGAGACTAACGAGACAAAATTAAACGAAAGTAAAACGATTTCGTTTTCGTCAGTGATCTAAACAATCACGGTAACTGTCAATCCGTAACCGGTGCATATATGCAATTATCAAATAATAAGTAATCATAGTTGTTATCACAACAACTAAAAAGAATAAAACGAATTCAAAAATCTTGCAGCCTATCTCTTAGTAACTTTTTCTATGTTACTCTTAATGTGCGAGTACAACTAGTACTTAACTGGATTTTGTTTTTATTATAAATAATTTTGACGATATTATCTATACATGGCGAAGGTAATTAATTAATTGGCCACCACCACGTAGATAACGTATTCTAGTGGATTCATTTGGACAACATACTTGTAAGTAAACAAGTATTAATTTCACGAACAGCTATTTATCAGAACGTGTTTGTGTCACGGAAAGTTATTTATTTCAGCTTTCAGTGTCGCGTGTATACAAAACGTGTTGGACATTATTTATGCCTATGAGATTGGGATTTAGGAAATTTATTTACACATGTGTATGCTGCAACTAAAACAAGTGAGTAAAAAAAAAGGTTTGTAGGAAAAGGTTGTTTAGATTTATTAAAAGTAGCAAGTCAGTCGATGCTACTTTGCAAACGTAGATATATTTAATAAATCCGTCATACAAATAATATATTCAAGAGCAACCTGCAACTCAAGAGTCACAAGTGCAAGGCCCCCTTCGAGCCCCCCCACTAGAAAGAAGGGGGGAGGGATTTGGGCTCGAGCAACCTCAATCAATCAGTGAGAGGTTTTCTCAGGATCTATGATTTATTTAAAAGACTATTTCTTATTACTAAAAGCTGAGTTTGTTCCATTATTTATATACTATATATTCATAATATTTACCAACGTAACAAACAAAGGAGGATATAAATTATATAATATATGTTACACGAGTGTCTGAAAGACAATATGTCCAAATCTCGACAGTATTGTTGCAAACCATTACGTTACAATCCTCTAAATCACTTCTTAACGGCAAAATTCAGAAACGTTTCATATTTATGAGGTTCTCGTTGCCAAACATCATATTCATAAGGTAAGTTTCTGTCATATGTGTTTATTACACGATTTATCTGTATATGGAGTAAAGATTTATATAAAAAGAAATATGAAACATCTCGCTTTTGCTCTTGCGAGGCATACGGCCGTCTGATCTTAAACTAGGCAGAACCCGTATATACTTATATATTTATACATAATATAGATTACACCCTGATACAGAACAAATTATTGTTCTCATTACACTATTATTGGCCCTGGGTGGAAATCGATCGTACGACTTCTAGGTTAGCAGTCAGGATCGTTTACCAACAGGCCTGTCAAATATAAAATAAATTGAACTTTATTCTGTAAAAGACACAGCATACAACTTATGTTGAAAAATTAAACAAAGAATACGCTGTATATCATTAGGTGGTTATCACTTTTTTTAAGGCTTTCAATTATTGCACGTTTTCAAAACTGAAACAAACCTATATCAACCCGTAAAGCCAGCGACGAATAGCAGGCCAAAACCTCTTTTTTAAAGGAGAGGCCTATGTCCAGCAGTGGACTTTTAAAGGCTTTTGATGATTGATGATGAATGTTGTTTACTGTGAGTGTTGACTCGAAAATGTATCATCACATTATTAACCACATTTCCTTTAATTAGCACAAGTAAGGGGTAACGGTGGCCTTGTCTTTGATTTACTTTGAAAAAGTGCGGGTAAGCGTAACTATCAGTACCGAGCGACCTCCACTGCTGAGAACGGTGCAACATACTTTGTGACAATCTCATCTTATATATAATAAATATTATAACAATAAAATAAACTTGCCCTAAAAAATGCAGCCGTCGATCCTCCCTTCAATGCTCCATATTTAATTTTAGTCTGTTTAGCAAGGTCTTCAGCACTCTCGATGGGAGAATCCATTCGCTCCACGGTGAGGAAAGCCGCCAAGTTAGCAGTGTATGATGATATCATAATCAAAGTGAAAAACCACCACATACCGGCTACCATACGAGTTGATACAGCTCTGGCATTAACAAAACAGTATTAATAACAACATAAAAATAATCATAATCATAACTTATGAGATTAATACGAAAGACTTTTATATTTTTTTTACAAACGGGTTGTAGAATTGTGAAAAAAAATTGCAGGAATTTTCAAACTACACTTGAAGTGTATTGACTATAGCGATGAATAATACGTAATACGGTTAAAAAAATCATGCCCTCAAATTATAAGGGTGAATCACTGTATCTCTACGCTATCGTTGCTATCTTCTAGTGTCGTAAATGTGTGTATTTCTTAAAATTAATTACGCATCAGACATTAAAATCACATTATATTGTTCAGATAACGAGTACAGAAAACAGTATGAATGTGAGATTAATATCTAATGTCCATTCGTCTAAGAAACTTTGATGCAGCAAGCTATAGATACTGCACAATCACGAAACGGGTGCGTGGTTTAATACGACGTTACTAACTAGCTGTTTGTCTAGCTACTAAATCAACTGTGGATATTTAGCTTAATTTAGGGAAATGGAAACCAAGGCTAGTCGACACGTCTTTACTTAAATTTGACGTTTTAGGTGACTACCGATGCTTGAAATTTACAAAGGGCTGTAGTGGGCTTTGAAACTAATTAGTAAAAGGGAGTTCTTCATCCAAGCTCTGCAACTGTGAGCTACATTTCCGTTTTGTAATTACAGCGGGTTTACTCTTAGAGTCAATTTTACCCATTCTGATTTCATTAACTGGCGATCTCGCTACGGTACTTATATTTGTTAACTATAATGCTCTAACGTTTTGTCGGATTTTGCGGAATTGTAGCCATCAGTAGGAAGTAGAGACTTACTTCGGCGCGATATCCGAACCTTGCTGCATCAAGGATCCGATAGTGAACCACAGCGAGTTCAACAGAGTGAACTGATTCTCCAGCACCGGCGGCTCGTCAAGACAGTTCCTGGGGCAGTCCCACTCGTACGGGCTGAACCTGTGCCCAAATACGGCTTATCATTCATTGTAATTATAAATGTCGATTGATTGCCAACATACTCTAGTGGATTTTAAAACCGTGAAGTATACTCATATAGATTTATTTAGCAAATTTATCATTTATGTTTTCATTCCTTATTTCGTTGTTAAAACAAAATGTTAAATACTTTCTTTCGACAAAATTCATCGACAATTTATAAATATATTATGTATGTGTACTAAGTCTCATATGCCGGAATTCTTTGAAAAATATTTATCACATAAAAAGAGTTTTATTTTTACCAATAAAAATTATTTTTGTGAATTTTTAAATAATGGATAATTGCTGTTATTTGGATATCATTTAAATTATTTCATTTTTCCTGCAAAAAAAAAAACAAATATATTATTGGTATTTTATTTGCAAACAACCAGGCTTTGCAATCCACTGACGAGTAGGTCGGCTAATGGTTACAAAATCCCGTTAATGTTCTTCTCGTGGACTTCGCTGAGTTCACTATAATATAACCAGAAATGAAATCTATTATTTGAAATACTTAAATAATTCTTCATAATTTAATAGCATACAGTTTAAAACGTTTTAATTTCATTTCTAGCTTAAAATTGCAGTAATCAATGGTTTCAGTGCGAGCCGTTCTCCTGTGTTTTCTTACTTGGGCAAAAAGTCACAGCTTTGTTGCATGAGAGATCCGATTGCAAACCACAAACAGTTTGCTAGAGAAAATATGTTTTCCATTTTTTCGCCTTCGGGTGAGTGCGTTGGATGCCATTCGTATGGAGTGAACCTAACAAATATTGGTGAATAAAATTTTAGAAATTTAACTATATTTAGTAATGTTAGCCAAATTTATAAGCTGTATAATAATATTAGAAAAAAAATCTCTGAAATACTGAAGTAATATCTGACTCCAATTTTCTTTATAATCAATTGAATATGAAACCTAAGTTTAAAATAATCACCTGTAAGTATATTTTAACTGAAAAAATAATACAGGTTAACTTAAAATATTATGATTAGCAAAAAACCACTCCCTCTCATCGGCTCTTGGTATCAAAACGGGGCGGTTTTTTTGTGTGTAGTTAAAGTAAGTAGAAGCAAAAAAAGCCTCATACTTTGCTGCTTCATTATATTAAGTAATGTAAGTTTTAAATTTAATTACAACGAAGACACCTTAAGATTACTATTGAACTCTGACGAGACTGATGTGAAGTCCAATATCACTAGAGTGAAACATTTCTATTCGTACTTCTATTCTATTTTTTACTCTGTGTTATTTTCAATCTATGTTTCTTCTTTTTAAACACTTTTTAAATATATGAGTTTTATAATTAACTTACATGTCTGAACCAAAAAAGAATTAAATCCGACAGTCACCGATAGCAGATCATAATAACGTTTACTTAAATTGATTTTAAAACTTACAATTCACAAAAAATACATGGCACTAGTAAGTTTAAAAAATCCTTTAACATATGTTTTATTTTTTAATAAATGAATAATTATAAGTGAACAGACAAACAAACTTGAAACTAAAACAAAGAAAAAAATCTAGTTAAGTTTTATTACTTTTTGAAGCCTATTTCAAAAACAACACACCGTCGACATTCAAAGACAGTATTTCAAACATTAAAATTTATTTTTGATATGAAATTTGAATGTTCGTTAACTTTTAATTTAGATTTAATTATTTATCTACTTATGTTTTATTGATCCGTTACATACCTTGCCAGAATGAAAAGTAGTACTGACACACCAAGATATGCGGTGGCCATATAAATCCACACGTCGAGTGACAAAGGCGATAGAAAGGAGAATAAGTTCGGGGGCTGCTTAATAGGCTTGCGGTAGAGAACCGAGATACCAAGATTCATGAACGGCATTGTAAAGTCGACCACTTGCTCCCTATGTAAACAAAAATAACACAATAAATATAGTTAAAACAATATAGGCTCACAACAGGTATCCCGGCCCAAATTTCGTAATGAGAAAGACACAATAGACTGCTGCAGAAATAATTTCCCGCAACTGTTTTCTAAAATAAATCTAGACAGTAACTTTCAATCTATTGAACAGATATTAGGCAGGTTCATTTTCATTGTTACCTGTCGTATGTAATGGTGAGATCAGCGATGGCGAGGTCGGCTCGTTGCTCCAACAATTCCCTTATCATTCCGTCCCACTCTTTAGTCTCGCGGTTGTAGGATCCGTATCGACCGTCAGGCGCCAGCTTGAATGTATAATTGAAGCCCAGAATTTTAGATATCTCGTGAATGAGATCGATTGCGTATCCCTCGAATTGTGCGTTGCCTGTTAGCTTTTCGCTGGCCTCTCTTCTCATACAATAGGGTGCACTCTAGGGAATTGGCAACAGATTTATATATGTAAATGTGTTAATAGAGTTAAGATACTTGGGGAATACACATGAATTGAATTTGTAAACAGTGATGGAAGAGAAATGCTAGGCTTTTTTTACTTTAAACACAGGTTTGAATATTTTGCCTGTGTTTTTTACTTAATATTTACTCGTATCTAAGTTTTTTACTTAATATTTATCTAAGTCATGAGAGCCATCTGCATTGCATTAGTGTGACTATATTTTTACTGGTAATTCATCTAAACAAATAACCTCTTTCTTCTCCAGAGTACACTTACATGTCCGTAATATATGCCCATTCGTTGTATTGTATACCAAGAGAGTTGTAAACCGATTCCGTCAAGTTAATATTTATATCTTGTATGTTTATTACTTACCAAAATGGTTGTTACGATCAGAGTTTTGTTTTGCAGTATTTCCACGATCTGTTTTTGATTCTCGCCATAGGACCTGGTGTAGTTGACGCCCTCGGAGGAGTTCCAAGTGCCAGCTTTTTGTAGTCCGTCTCTTGTTAATTCAATTATATCCAAGGTAAAATCGCTTCTGAACCCTTGATGGTCGAACTTTATAACCCCCGTTAAGCCTTTCATTTCAACCTGTTCATTGAATAACCCAATTACAGAGTATATTGCTATTTTTATGGTATTAAGACATGTTAACCTGTATTTCTAGACTATTTTTGGGACATTTGATTTTACATTTTAAAGTTAGGTATATCGTATATTACTACATTTTATTTCTATAAATTTATTTGCACGCTTTCTATTTGAACATCCGAAAGCGATGCGCCTCTCTTTGTATAGCCGCCTTTGCATAACCGATAGGTTATGCAAAGGCAATGGGTTAGGCTCTGCCGATGGGTTAGGCTGCATACTCTGTTTAAAATGTTATGATGCTAAGTTATGAATGTATTATTATGTAATTTTATATGTGTCTATTCATATTTATGATTACTAACAACAAATCAATAACACAAAACACACAGACAATGCAATTTACCACAAACCTTATACATTGGAAATTAATAAACTATTAATTTGATGTAATATTTTATATACAGCAAGAAATATATGTAAACATCTTTAGTTTCTCATGAGTACTCGGTACTTAAGTGGGGTGTTCTTCAAGGAGCGGCATGGCGGCAGTTAATACGTCAAGTCTACTATAGAGCACTTAATCCTTTTCTGTTGGCCACAGCTTTGTTTAATGACCACCGATTTCTTTTTTATTACCGGGCTTTAGTGCAGTTTATTGCTTGGCGAGTGCTTGTAAACAGTTTTCTTTATAGGTACTAATCTAACTGGTCTGAGGCGATGGTGAAGAACAAAGTTCAATTTCTTGGGTGGGTGCTTTTTTATTTGTTTTTAAATAGAAATTTAAAGTTATTAGTAAATCCAGAAAATGTAGAAATGTTAAGCAATTAAGTAATTGCCAATTAATTAATGAAGTATAAAGTTTTCGGTTTTTAAGCTTTGCTTGAGAATACCCTACATTATTAGATTCACTCGAAAAACATTGTAAATGTTTTTACATAGTATTTAGTCTCGGTTCTCGGTGAGTAGGGCCATCTAATTAAAAATATATAAACCAACAAAACTTGGAATTAAAAAACTTGATGTACAACATTTTCTTCTTGAATAGAAAATAATTTGACGCAGGATGTATTCTTACTTTGTGTATAAGCTTAAAATACGTTCGAAATAAAAATAGGTAGTTCTACCTATATTATAAGTAAATAAATGTTTGCCAATTGTTTGTCTGATTGTATGTCTATGGAACTGGAGCTATCAGTCAGATTTGAATTGCCTTTTATGTTTCTACAAATACTAGTGATTCGTTAATGTATGAATGTAATTTTAAGGCATGTAGCTTATTAATACAATTCGTTGATAAAATAAAAAACAAAGTTTATTCGCCGACTTGTGTCTAAGACTTGTGCCAAGGAAAGAACAGACAATCGACAATATAAATATATATTAACATACCTTATGTAACACACCCAATAACTTGCAGTGTTTTAGTTTAATAACCTGTTTTATATTAAAGTTGTTGGACATCATTCAACACTTCTGGTAGACTGTGATTTGATTGACATTTTGATAAACAATTAATCTTAACTCGTCTTAAATATTCTAACATTTAAGAAGTTTTAATTTATTGTACTGGCTGTAAACTCAGTTTACGCTGCTGATCTCTTCTTCTCTTTGTATCTCTCAGTTTTTAAAATGATAAATACTTATAATTATTAACTATTAACGATGTTGTTATAATTCAGAAAACGAAAACAGAGCATACTTACGATTTTCATGTAATTGATGAGACTGTAACCGTGGGGCCAAGTGTCCTCTGCCTCACATGATAGAGGCCTAACGTCGATTTGTTGCGACGTATCCAGATCGTGTAACGCTTTAGCGAACAAGTGAACTGCGTCGTACATCAAAGCTGTTTCCGTCTGTTACCACACAACATACTTGCACAGTTATTATATCGTTGGGCGCAAAAATACTACCACTTTTTTAAGACGTGATACAGAAAATGAATGTCATCAAAACCCGGCAGCTATACTCTACCAATGACATCCAAAACTGCTAACACGTAATAACACAATGTAGTGTAATTTTAGTTAGATAAGAGATTTGTTTATATATTTTATGGATGAAATGATGCCTAAGACCTATTCTAATGCCTAATAACTTTATGTGCAGTCAACACAACTAAACAACTTACTACGCATTTCCATAATAATTTTAATGACATTGTTTTTTATGTAGACATTTTCAGAAATCTCCATTAATATCTTTGGTGTTAAATACCGATATTTTGATTCATGTCAACCATCTATCAAAATTAAGTATTTGCTTTAGCAGTTAATTTTCAAATTCAAACAAACATTTATACGCAAAATCATATGCATATTTCGATTATGTTTTGATATAATATTCACTACTTGATACTCCATAACTAAAAGCACTGAAACTTACCTTTATAAAGGTCATGTTCTCCTGTAAACAAACAATAAATTTTGTTAACTCAACATGTGTATAACAGTAATAAGTTTATCGTAAACCTCTATCAAAGGAGGTAATTACTTTAGCAGTGGTGTGCCCCAGTTGTAGTTTACGTCCTTTTCTCGCTTCGTCGTAAACCCAATCCCGGACGACTCTCTGTACATCAGCACGTTCAGGGTCCAGTAATCTTAATGCTGTAATATTGGTGCCGCCGTATTTGAACTCTTCTAAGTCTACGCTATGAAGATCCTGTTAATTTTTTTAAATCGAATATAGTTTACTCCTGAATAATAGCAAAATGAAAAAACATTGAAATTTTTATTTTATTGTCTTTGGGTTAGACAGAAATATCATCCCGCCATTAACTTTAAACCCTTAAAACTTGACTTTAAAATAAAAAAAATAAAAAAACCTCCAGCTGCATATACCTCACGACCTGCTTCTACTGTCATTATACCTTTTACACAAGCTTGCCGGTTTCGGGTCAAAGGGTCAAAAGGGAAGGTCATGAATAAATACCTTTCCAATCTTCAGAACATCTCCAACCATATCAGAGTACATTCTGCGTAATCGATGCCCAACTTTTAAGCCATACTCCTCTCGAAAATTTATAGTGCTCTTTGTGTTTTTACCTTTTTGTTTGAATTGATTATATTTAAAATGTCTCTTATTTAATTCCCTAGATATCTATTACTGAGCAAATGATACTCATGTATGTTTTATCAAATCTAATACGATGGCTAATAGTATCACGTTAAGTGTGTCTCAAACTTAATAGTAACTATGATAAAGATGTGTACTTTACAACAAACTGTTTGGTTTCTATAAGTTTATTCAAAGTCTTACCAAAGATGTTATAAGATAACTGTGATAATCCGACATCATTCCAATTTGTTGCGCTTGCTGAAGAACATCCCTAATCCTTTCAGTAGTACAATCAAGTACGATGTGAGATTCGGCTGAGTTTTTTATTTGTTTCAAAAGCGGTCTGCAAAGCAATTTCGACCATAAACTTATAGTTTTATAACACAAATTCATAAACATGGTTTAAATGTTACCCACCTATAATCATGGGAATCTGGCAGTTGTCTCACCGCAACAGGCAGTTCTGAAGGTCCGTGCGCTTTGAGAAGCTCTTGCAGGCGGACTAGACCATCACTATTCTCATATACTATAGTGAATGATTTCCAGCCCCACGCTCTTACTAAATCCACGTAAGCCTAAAAGTACAACAAACGTAGTAATAGTGTTCTTCAAAATTTATATACAATAGTTTTGAACCACGATATAATTATCCGACTTATAAGCGGTTTTACTCATGGGTATTTCGGGGATGCTCGGTTAATTTCAAATCCGGCGGTGGATGGACTCAGAAGGTCACCTCACACCCTTGACGATAGTTACCGGTCGAGTCCGGGCCTCTAACATCTAAATCTTTTTGAGATTTAAGTTCTAAAGAAGAAGAAAGGTGGAACCTTTCTTCTTCTTTAGAACAAAGCGGCGGTAGCCTAGTGGTTAAGGCGTTGGACTTGCGATCAATTGGTCGTGGGTTCAAATCATGACCGGTACACTACCGACGTGAACCCACTCCTAACACAAGCAATTTAGCTTAGCGAGAGAGGTTAACGGGAAAACTAGTAATTTCAGTTGCTAGTAGACCTTTAAAAAAAAAGGAGTAAAAATAGATTATCCATTCATCTTTAATTTGCATTTATGATTTAAACCCCCTAATGGTTAACTTTATAATATTATTTTAGTCTCACTGACTTATTAAGCCATTTCAAAAGCTGAAAAGCTTTGAAAGCTTTAATTATTTGAATGTTGTAAACGTTTAAATTAGGTATCTAGGAATGTTTTTGAGACAAACAGTATAATTGTAGTAGTTCAATAATTTTATTTTTACCGGTGATCGGTAGATCACAGAGCACAGGTGCACGGAATATCCGTACTGCTTCAGTAGTCATTTTTGTTATCTATTTCTTTTGTTAATATCTTGTCTAAAATTATCTTTACCAGTAAAGACTTTCACAGATGAGAAGGCAACGACTTTGGTGTATAATGGCGGGTAGATGACCCCGTCCTGTGTGGGAACCCCCATGTTCCCTTGATGCTCCCGATGCGAGTACCCCCAGGCCTGCGCTCATAACAGAACGGTCGCAGAACGACCTCCGGCGCATTGAGATTGTTCTTCAAAATAGATAGTAGTACATATATAGATGCTATTGAACCTGAGTGAACACATCTAACATACTTTGAAGGGCGATAAATAGTTGTAAGCATTTCAAGTCGATGTCGATACTGTAGACAACAACATTTTCTTCTGCTAAATTGCCTTAAATACAATCGACGTAAGGATTAAAACTGATCCACAATTTTTTTATAAAAACTTTCTAAAGCCGTTATATGGTTTTTCCACCACGTTTTTTCGAACATGTATCTATTTTTTATATGAGTAAAACCCTACACATGAAATCGTTATGATCCACAACATTAAAAATATAAGGATATGGTTAGTACCAGGTTTAGTAGCTCAAAGCTAGTGTTTGACATTGCATTATAAGGTCAAAGGACTGAACAGTTAACACTTACTTAAAAATTCGGGCTGCGTACCCAAAACCTTCCTGTACCTATTAAAAACGACCGAGCTTCATTTAGAATTCGGCAACAGTTTTATCCCATTAAAACCTTCAATGGCTTTAATGGTTTGAAGGTTCTTTTTGGAAAAAAAACTCTCCACTTATTTATTTTTTTGTTAGGGAGGGCAGACGAGCAGACGGTCACCTGATGGGAAGTGACCATCGCCGCCCATAAAAGTCTGCAACTCAGGAGTCACAAACGCGTTGCCGGCCTTTTAGAAATGAGTACGCTCTTTTCTTGGAGGTTTGAAGGTCGTATCGGTCCGGAAATACAGCAGACAATAATTTATTGGGCAGATTGGCACAGAGGCAAAAACTGTCTCGAAAAGCGCACAGTAGTGGAGCGCCAATTATCCAGGTGATGGGGATGATAATTTTGCCGTGTGGAACGATGGCAGAAAGTTGCGGCCGGTATTAGTCCGAACATTCTTCTTAGCACTCTCCATGACATATACGATAAAGAATGCAGAGTGAAGCCACATCTCTAAGTAACACCAACGACGATTCAAGTCGCTCCGCGCTCGGACCGCTGGGTGCGATTCAGAGGGAGAAGCTAGTACTGAGGGGCCGGAGTGAGATACTATCTCGATATGTTCAGCTCACCGAGCTTCTTCGAGGGCAATTTGACCTTACCCTCTAAGTGACCCCAAAACTACACTCCGCTGGATATGTCGATGCCTAGGATTCCGCTGACGCAGTTAGGCAGGTGCTCTCAAACCGAGGTGATACGACAAATGGTATCTTCTTTGCGGTGAACGCACATACCTGTATCTTTTTGGGTTAAAGTGGACTGGATTTCCAAGATTTGTCCAACAGTGAAGGCTCATGACTTTCCACATCTAGGACTCGCATGGGCGTTGATACCAGTTATGACAAGCCATAGGTCAGGGCGAAATCATAAGCAGATCTCCCCGAGTGATCGGTTCTGCGTGAGTCTAACAAACAACCTCGAAATTAAGGTGGTGTTGTGATGACCCATTATGATTTTCATATCAAGGTGTATAAATTATTTAATCATAGGATTTTTTCAAGACTAAAACAAAATTTGTTTAGTATTCATTTCATAAGTTTAGCTACAGACGTGGAATATTGCAACCCATTTCTCAGAACAATACATATTATGATCAGTCCTTGACTGTTTATAAAATATAACATGTATAATTTTTTTCGTCTGTCTATTAAATCTTAAAAAAATACTGTAAGAGTAGAAGTAAATAGTTGGTCGGGGAGGATAAAAGTCATCCCAGATTAATGACTTTTATCCTCCCCGACAAGGAAAACATTTTCAATGACTACACTTCCTACGATAAGGCAACAAAATCCCGCATACCAAAACCACTTCTCGCTATTAAGATAATTAATTAACAAAGTTTCCTCTGACAGATTCTACAACGGTCTAAATTATTTTGGGACTAATTGTTGTAAGAAACGTGACAGCTGGCCTTCTAGATAGAATGTCTACTTAGAAATACCTTTAGTCTTAAAATTATTTAAATTCATTGAATGGCAAGCGTCAAGTAGTTTTAATAATTATAAACATAGTTTTTTATAATGTGTAGCATTATTTTGACATTACTTCTCTCATTTCTTACATACATTCTCTTTCTCTCAGAGTCGCATTTCTAACATTATTTAAGATTAATTTTCACGATGTTCGTATTTTATACTGTGTATTTTATATTATTTACGATCATGCCTATATCAAATAGGCATGATCGTAAATAATAATACAACGATTGAATTATTGTATTAGTAACAAACATCATTCAATAAAAAATTGTTGATTCTTCGTATTTGTGCGGTACTGTGCCGTTTATCCAATTGTCATGAAAATTGGTATACTCGTGGATTACGATACGGTTAAAGAGCTTCTCACAGAGAAAAAACATGTTCCCGCATTATTTAACACCAAAAAATACTTAATAAAATATCTACGATAGTCAGCCTATTACGTTTCAATTAAGTAATTTTAATCATTGCATTTTTGTAACATTCTTATTACATAGATAAATATTATTTTGTAAATTAAAACAAAACTCTACTCAATCAAACATTTTCCTAGCTGTTTTTTTAATCTTATTATGATTATTTATTCTTAATATTTAAAAAACTGCATTTCTAAGTTTTTTTAGTAAAAATCACATGAAAGACAACGAAATAATTTTAGTTTCTACCTCAATTCTTAACAAACTGTAACTAATAATATTTAATGCTGTAATGTTAGACGTCGGAAATAAAAAACGAGGATAGGTGGGAACACACGCTTCTCATTCAGAGAGTTTATCATCGATTGAAAAAAGTAACTGCAACTTTTGATTAATGGCTTTGCGGAGCTTTTTTTTTTTTTTTTTTTAATCCCGCCCACATGCCCACCACTGTAACTCCTGTACACCAGGATCCACAGCAGTGACCCACAAACACACCGAGTTATGACACTCGGGAAGTCCCAGGAAGAAATTAAACTGTCTTGGAACCCGCAACGAAATTAATCAGAAGAAAATTGGAGGAGTTGGAAACATAGTAAATCCACTTCCCTCCTTAGCAAAGCGGGAGACAAAATGAAATAAAATGGGCATACACCCTTTTAAACAGGGAAGCACCACGGCCACGAAATATTACGGGTCCTACGTGAGCTATATTTGATTTCTATAATATGTATGACAGAATCGCCTAAACGCACGGAAATTCACCCTAGTTGACACAAGATCCCCATAGTATACCGCCCCAGATGTCACCTGCAAGGTATTCAGCATTATATTACGTTCATTACACCAAAGACTACATTCCCAGAGGATATGATGAGCAGACTGTTCATAGTGAGAGTTAGGTGTTGAGCATTGACACAATGGTGACTCGACTAATTTAAATGAATAAAGCTTGCTCTTAAAGTTACCATGACCCGTAAGAAATTGAGCGACACAGTGATCCACCTCAAGCCATGTCCTCGACAACCGTTCGCGAACAGATGGAAAGAATTGGTAAAGATGGCGCCCCTTGGATGATTCATCCCAGCGTTGTTGCCATTCGTCTATGAGGTCATTATAGACATCGGACTGCTGTTGAAGCAATCTTGTAATTTTACCGCGATCCCGCGCGCCCAAAAAATCGCATTCCATGTTTTGTTGTCTTGAATAGTACATGGCTGCACGTCTCTGCACTTCGAGATCGACCGGAAGCACACCCGCCAACACCGGCAAAGCCTCGGTGCTAACCGTCCTATATGCCTTGCACAAGAATATCAGTGCAAGTCGTTGGCCTTGTAACAGTTTGCGACGGACAGCGCCTACGGTCGCCCTATCGGCCCATACAGGTGCACCATAGCACATAGAACCTAAATAAGTAGCTCCGTATATGATCTTTAATGTATTAAATGATAGACCCCATGTCGCAGTTGATATCCTTGTCAATGCACAGAAACTCTTTTTAGACTTTTCATTAACTATTTTAATATGTTCGATAAATGAAAAGTTTCTTTCTAAAACTAATCCTAGGTAACACACTGAGGCCTTATTTTTTACAGTAACATTGTCAAATCTAATGCTTGGCGGTGATTTGAGGTTACCTTTTAAAAGTAGCTGGAAGGT